ACACCCCTCCTTCCTGTCTCTCCAGGTGACTTTGGCCTGGCCACCAAGGTCGAGTATGACGGTGAGCGCAAGAAGACGCTGTGTGGGACCCCCAACTATATTGCCCCAGAGGTGCTGGGCAAGAAGGGGCACAGCTTTGAGGTGGACATCTGGTCCATTGGCTGCATCATGTGAGTCAAAATGCCTTTGCAAGGCCAGGGGGGTGGGTGGTCCCTGTGGTCCTGGTCTTCTTGACCCATCCGAGCTTTAGTGTGAGCCAAAGCTCCAGGTCACAGTCCCTGGAGCTCCTGGCTGAGCCCGGCTGCCAGCCAGCACCTGACCTTGCCTGTGCTCTGACGTGCTGGGGTGCTGTCTGTGGGCTGATAGGTCCTCAGTGTGACTGTCCCAGGGCATTTCCCATTCTTAACTGGAACTTCCCCCGCAGGGTGCTAGATCCCAGCTTCCCTTTCCAGGGAAAGGGAAGCACAAGTACAAGTAGCTGTTAGCACTGCTGAATGTCCAATGCTAAGTGTGTTCCCTCTATCAGGAAAGCCCCCAGGTGTGCTTAAAAGAGGGTCACTTCCACACAGAATCTTGAGTCTCTTTTGCAAAACTGATGCCCTTTTGTCTGGGAACGCCCAGGTACACTCTGCTGGTGGGGAAACCTCCCTTTGAGACTTCTTGTCTAAAGGAAACGTACCTCCGGATCAAGAAGAACGAGTATACCATTCCTAAGGTACGGTGCTTGCCATAGAGGATCCATTCACCTCACAGCAGTTCCCTGTCAGCCTCCTGCTGCACCCCCTGTGTCTGGCACTCGGTGGCTCTCCTGTAACAGGGCAGTGGCTGTTACTGCCGGGTGGGGACAGTTCAGTCCGTGATGGAGTGAACCTGTAAAGGTTCCTCCTGAGGAGCCAGCTGGTGTCTGCCCCCTGATCCAGCAAAAATCCAAGCTGGGCAGTTGGCACATGAGGGTGAATGGACACAAGCAAGTCCATGAGGTCTGGACCAGGTCCCCAGTTCATCCCACTGCTGTTGAGTTGGTCTTGCTTAAGTCAGTTGACTTCAGGCTGTTAGGAGACAGCTCTCTGTGCTGCCCAATTCTGCTTCCCCAGGCTTGTATCCTGTTTGCCTGATGCAGCACTGGAGCTCTGCTCCAAGCAGAACTTCCCTGGGTCATGAATCCAGTTGGTCTGTCTCTGGTGCATGTCACCTACTGGCCTCTGTCTCTAAACTCCACCTGTCCCTCAGCACATCAACCCCGTGGCTGCAAACCTCATCCAGAAGATGCTGAGGTCCGACCCTGCCACACGCCCGACCATTGATGAGCTGCTGAATGACGAGTTCTTCACCTCGGGCTACATCCCCAGCCGCCTGCCCACCAGCTGCCTCACGGTCGCGCCCCGGTTCTCCATCGCTCCCAGCGGGATGGAGCTCGGGCGGAAACCGCTGACGGCGCTCAACAAAGGTGAGTGTGAGTGCCAGTGCCCATGTGCAGCTGGGCTGCAGTGCTGCACAGAGCCTGCCTGGCCTCCGGCAGCATCCAGAACCCTCAGTGTGGCACTCCCATCATCTCCCAATTCTCATGGAAACTCAGAGCATTTTGTGGTCGAGGGGGCTCTCCTTGCTCTGCCTGGGAACAAAGTGGGGAGGAAGTACGGCAATAGCTGTAGCTCTGTGGCGATGGGCACAAAGGTGCACGTGAAGTTCTGCCTGAACATGAGGAAGAACTTCTTTCCTGTGCAGGCGGCACACACTAGAATAGGCTGCCCAGAGAGGGTGTGGAGTCTCCCTCCTGTGCCATGTGCTCTGGGATGATCCTGCTTGAACAGGGAGATGGGACCAGATGCCCCACTGTGGTTCTTTCCAACGTGACCCATTCTGTGTGCGTTGCCTATACCTGCCTTCGGAAACCTCTCCCTGGTCACAGCCTCAGAGTCTCCTTTCTCCTGGCCCAGGACTGGACAGCCCTGCACCGGAGAACTTGCCGGACAAGGAGGAAGCAGCGGGACTGCGGGAGGTGGGAGATGCTGTCACCTGCCACCTGGCTGACATGTTGCAGCAGCTGACAGCAGTCAATGCAGCCAAGCCCTCTGAGAGAGTGGCAGTGAGACAAGGTGAGCCTGGGGCAGCCCATGGGCTTTGTGGGGTGCACAGCGTGTGGAAAATGTCTCCTAACAAGCTTCTTTCTTCTTGCAGAAGAAGCCGAGGACCCAGCCTGCATTCCCATCTTCTGGGTTAGCAAATGGGTGGACTACTCAGATAAATATGGACTAGGTAAATACTGTGGGGGCAATGCTTCAGGCTTTCCTGATGTCTGAAGGGGCTGGGGAAAGCCTGAATTTGGGTCTTTAATCACCACATTCCTGTGATGTGTCCAAGACCACTGCCAGGGATGTCACCAAATACCCAGAAAATTCAGAGCAGTGGTCACTGAATATCAGCCCTGGCCACTTCCAGGTGGACAGGGGTTACCTGTGCATGAGATGGCCAGGCTCTCCCCAGCCTGCACAGGGACCCACAATGGCAGCTGAGGCTGTTTCTGCAGCAGGTGATGCAGTAAGGGAGATGACAAATGCAGAGGTGAAAAAGTGCCTCCCAGAACTCTTACAAAGAGACCTGGCAGGGACTGGTGGGGTGCCTGTCGGGGGTCCCCTGGGGATACAACCGTCTGCCTTTGTGTTTCCCACGGCTCGTGGCCCCCTGAGTTTGCAGCCTCACGGGGTCCCTTTTGGGCAGGTTACCAGCTGTGTGACAACAGTGTCGGGGTTCTCTTCAACGACTCCACTCGCCTCATCATGTACAACGACGGGGACAACCTGCAGTACATTGAGCAGAACAGCACCGAGTCCTACTTCACTGTGAGGTCCTACCCTTCCACCCTGAACAAGAAGGTCAGTCCTGGGAAAGGCAAGCCTGGCTGGGGAGTGGTGAGACTCCTGCCAGCCTTGGGCTTTGGTGGCAGGGTGGGTTCTAGGGAGAAACATCTCAAACTGAGGGTCACCTGGCACTCTTCAGGCTTCCTCTGGCTGGTGACACATGGCCCCAAGGACAGACACTAGCATCTCTGTTTCTCTCTACTGTCTGAGGCTCACTTATGAGCAGTTTCACAGAAATAAGCGCTTGCATGACTTGCGTGGACTGAAGTGTTCAGCAAACCGAGGCTGAAGTGTCACAGTCTGAGTTAACTTTGAGGATTTGCACAAGTTTGTGCAGTGGCACCTCAAGCTGTGAAGGATGTAAGGAGGCTCTGGGACTGTGATGGCAGTCCCAGGGTCACCCTCAGCTCCTCACAGCCCGTCCCATCTGCAGATAACACTACTGAAGTACTTCCGGAACTACATGAGCGAGCACCTGCTGAAGGCAGGGGCCAACATCACACCACGGGAGGGGGACGAGCTGGCCCGCCTGCCCTACCTCTGCACCTGGTTCCGGACCCGCAGCGCCATCGTCCTGCACCTCAGCAACGGCACTGTGCAGATCAACTTCTTCCAGGTGAGGCCCTTCCTGGGGCTGTGGCTCCAGCTGCTCAAGGGCTCTGGCTGCACGTGGTGCTGCTGGGAAGGCATCAGGAGGTGATCACCCAAGCCAAGGCTTTGCCCAGGGAGCTGAGCACTGGAGGCTCCTCACTGCCTGTGCTGGTACCTGAGCCCCCCAGATGTGCCTCGCTCATGGAGGGGCCAAGCTCTCGAGCAGCAGGGAGGATGCTGCAGTCAGTGCTGAGCTGGCTGTGCCCCTTTGCTGCACTCTGAAGGAGTTCTGCAGCAGGGCCTTGTCCCCATGCTGTGGGTGTGGCTGGGATGGCACATCACAGGAAATGCTGTCCCTGAGCAGCATGGTGCTCAGGGTGATGACCGTGTGTTCTCTCCCCCCAGGACCACACCAAGGTCATCCTGTGCCCTCTCATGGCTGCTGTCACGTACATAGATGAGAAGCGGGACTTCCGCACGTACAAGCTGAGCCTGATCGAGGAGCACGGCTGCTGCAAGGAGCTGGCCAGCCGGCTCCGCTATGCCCGCACCATGGTGGAGAAGCTCCTCAGCTCCAAGTCTGGCTCGGGCCGTGCGAAACCCTCTGCTTAGACCTTGTTCTTGCTGGACTCAGCATCTGTGCCAAACTGCCCAGCTGTGGAGGGAGAGGTCTGGGAGCTTCCCTCCTGTGGCACAGCTGTGCTCCCACTCTTGGATATGGGCTCATTGCCACAAGGAAGCCCCTGTTGCTGTGGGAACAGTGTTGATCACTCTGACTGATGCCCAAAGGTTTCTTGATCCCCACTCCTAATGGAGTGGTTTTTTTAATTCCATACATAGTCTGTTTTTCTAACTTCCCAAAGCCAAAAGCCTGGCTCCAAACCAGCCCTCTTGTTTGAGGCACCTGGGCCTGCTCTTGGGAGAGCAGAGCTATCACGTGAGGTGTCTGTATGTGGCTGCGCCCTTGCCTTGGGCTTCGTTTCCTCTTGTAGAAGCTCAGGTAAGGTATTGAACGTGCCCAGGGTGAGACCGAGCAATCGGCCTTTTAATACTGAAACTACACGAAACCTCAACTTTTGTATATTGCATAACTTGATTAAAGATTGTTTGCTGCAGCGTCCAGCCTGTCGCAGTTCCCTTTGGTTTGCTGAGGGAGGGAGCAGCACCTCTGCCTTCCCCTGTGACTGAGAGCCATCCTCTTACCCTTCAGCCTGGGGCTGGGCATGCCTCTCGCTCTGCTCCACTTGACAAAGGAGCAAGAGGGAAACTGGCAGAGGGTGATGGGAAGTGGGGAAGAGAATAAGTTGTTTTGGGAGATGCTCTTGGGAGCAGAGAAAGGTGGGTGAGTTTACTTCTCCAGTGTTGGGGAACCTTCCCCTTTTGCAGATGCTTTGCTCTATTTTACCACATGGTAAAATTATGAGTACAGCATCAGCAGAAGTCATCTGCAGCAGACTCCTGCAGGAGCCCATTGACCTCCAGGTATTCTCCCCCCACTCTACCCTGCCAGCACCAACAGGTGCTCTCAGGCCAATTTATTTTTAAGCAGGACAAGCTTTTTAGTTTTTATTTTTTATAACATTTTGTATAAACATATTCTGAAAAGAAACCAGGTACAAACCCTATCACCTCTGTAACAAAATCCCACATCCCAGCACCCACAGGAATCGGACTAAACTATTGCTGTTCCACAGAGGAACTTTGCCATGGGGCTTCATGTGCCTGTGCACCCAGTTGATACTGGAGGCTGGCTTATGGGGAACACATGCCCATGGGCATGCCACGAACCAGAGCACCCATGGGACTTGGACCCGGGGCAGCAGAAGAGGCTGGGGGAGCTTCAGGCACAGCCCTGTGTTTGAGGGAAGGGATCCCTCGGGAAAAGTGAGTTCCCTGCTTTGTGCCCAGAGACAGCTGCTCAAGAACTGCTGTGTGACCTGCTCAGGGGCTCAGGCCTGGCACAGGCACAGACTGAAAGGGAGATAACCTTGTTCTCAGCCCAGCTGAGATTCAAACCTTCATTCAGGGGGCTGTGCTGGAGGCCCCCAAGTGCTGCAGGGCTGTGCCCTTGCAAGCCTGGATACAACAGGCCAGGTCCCCGGCGGGTGTGGCTGCTCAGCACTGCCTGGCTGAGCACAGCCCACACTGGGGCTGAGGGCTCAGCTCCAGTGTCAAGACTGGGGTACTGGTCACAACTCAAACAGCTGTGTTCCATGGCACAGGAGAATGCCCTGGACAAAGCTCGCTGATCCCCGGTGAACATCCCCCTGTGACCAGCGTGGCCTGAGGGCCTCGCTGTGCCGGGGCATCGCTGCCGCTGCCCTTGGGAAAACACAACGGGCATTTTCCTCTTTCTCCAAGCACCCAGTCCACACCAGAGAGGTCTTTGTTCTCTGACTCACGTGCCTTCAGGCCCCTGAGTCTGACTGTGAGTGTTTGCAAAGGTGGGTGCCCAGAGGGTCCCTCTTGGGCTCAGGGGACCCCAGGCGAAAGCACAGTGCTGCCCTGTGCCCACCTCTTCCACACTGTGCTGCTGGAAATGCCCCGTATGCTGGGCACCCATCTGGCCCCGGGGAGAGGGAGAAGGACCCCCCCAGAGCCCCCGGGGCTGTGGGCACAGGCAGGGAGGAGGGGCCGCAGCAGCCCCACGGTGCCGTGTCCCCCTCAGGCGCCGTCACCCCGCAGCCCCTGGCAGTAGTAGGGGTGGAAGATGCGCTCGTGGGCGCAGACCCGCATGGCCCCGTGCGTGTGCAGCAGCAGCCGTGGGAAGCGGGAGGTGAAGTACTGCACAAAGCCCTCGGGGACTGAGCCCAGGGCTGCCCGAACCTCGGCTGGCAGCTCGTGGTAGTGGTGCTTCTGCAGGACAGAGGGTGAGGTCAGATACGACAGGGACAGTGGGATGGCAGGGGCAGGGCACCAGGGTGACCGTACCTTGTTCCTCATGGCCCGCAGCAGGTCACGCACTGACCCCCCCTTGTAGGTGCGAAACTTCCTCAGGTCTGGGGAGAGCAGAAGAGACACTGAGCAAGGTGGGACACAGTGGGGCAAGGGGCTGCCACAGCCCTGCAGTGCCAGCACCACCCCCGGGTGCAGCAAACCCCGGCTTGGCTCTGCTCTCTCAAAGAAGGGATGGCACCTTTACCTGCCCTGGTTTTCAGCTCCCGGGCATGAGCAGGTGCCTCCCGGCCAGTAAAGGCATCCTACTACCTGTCTACTCCCTATCTGCTTCACCAGATCCAGGGGTAAGCCTGGCCTCCCCATGCTCACCCATCTGCAGTGGGAGGGAGATGTGCATCCTCCAGTTGGTTCTCACCACTGCCCGTGCCCCTGATTCCAGGGCTGACACGATGGGACCCTCAGCCGGCTCCTTCTCCACACGGTCGCTGACGTCCTGCATGCCCAAGAGCAGGGATGGGGTGGGTATCACACTGCCCTCACCCCACAGAGATTCAGCAACCCCCCCCACCCCCTCCAAAGGTAGCTCAGAATGAGCACGTTGACCTCAACACAGCCGTTCCCAGTATGTTTTTCAGAGCACACCTGTGTTCACTGCCAGTGGGACAGCACAGGCTCACCTGGAAGAACTGCAGCTGCTTCTCCTGACTCCAGAAAAAGGGATGCACAAGGACCACAGGGGCTGAGGGCCGGTGCTGGGGTTCAGGGCTGATCATCGCCACAATCAGCTCCCTCGCCACAAGCTTGTCTGGAGGCAAAACAACATAGCGGAGAAATCAACCCCCTGCCAGGACCAGGAGCTGCCCCTCGGCCCAGAGCTTCCCCACGGGGCCATGCCACTGGGGAAGGGTCTCAGCTGGGAAGGGTCTCACCGTGAGCCTCCTCTTGCAGGCAGTTCAGCTGGTAGGAGCCTGCCAGGATGTTGGCCTGGCGCCGCAGGCTGTCCCCAAAGGGGTGCTGCCCCCCCGACACCACGTAGTAGAAAACACAGCCAGCTGAGAAAATGTCCACGGCACTGGTCTGCAAAACACGGCGGGAAATGGCACCTTCAGGCAAAGGCTGAGGAAAGCCTTCACCTCCCACTTTTCCATCCTTTATGTGGACCATTGGCTGTTGGCTGCAGAGCTGCTGAAAAACACATTGCATGGGAGTCCCATCACCCCGGGTCCCTGTCAGGGAAGGGGCTTCCAGAGGCACAGCCAGAATTCAGGACTCCACAGTCTGATGGACACACTGGGGCTGCTGGTGTCCACCAGCTGGGCAAACAGACCCCAGCCCGAGGGTATGGGAATCTGCCAGCCCCAGCAGGCACCAGTACAGCAGCTGCTCCCAGCAGGAATGGGATTCCCAGCACTGAACAGAGGAGCAGAAGTGTAACCTTGGCAGCAACCTACAGTCCCTCTAACCTCCCCACTCCGAATTTCTGAGGGGCGGAGCCCAACGAGACACCCTGTGAACACAACTGGGCACTGTGCCCCGAGGACAGGGTCACTGAGGCAGCCACTGACCGGGGCAGCCCTGGCAAGCAGCAAAGTGCCCCTGTCCAGGCTGGCTCGGGCTCATAGAGCTTGTCTTAATTGTGCACCCCAGCAGCGTGCACCAAGGCCACTGCCAGCATGGGCCACTGCCACAACGGGCCCAAGGAGCACCCAGGGCAGGGGCAGCCATGGCTCACTGACAGGGTTCTCCTTCGGGGCCTCCTGCAGCACCTCGGGCGCGATCCAGCCCTCGGTGCCAGGGATACCAGAGTGGAGACTGAAGCTCTGTCGTCCCCCCTGAAGCTTCTTGCAGAGGCCGAAGTCTGAGATGACAGCGCGGATCTGCCCGTGGCGATTTGGGGCAGAGATGAGGATGTTACAGGGCTTCAGGTCACGGTGGACTGGAAGAGAAAGTCTGTGGTGTCACCTGGCAGGGCTGGAGCAAACAGGGCTCTGCCAGTGCCCTGCACGCTGCCAACCCCGACAGCCCCTGCCTGAACCCCGACAGCCCCCGCCTGAACCCTGTAGCCTCCGTTGAGGATGGGATGCAGAGGGCCCTGCTGGCCCTTACCAATGCTGAGGGAGTGGAGATGGGCCAGCCCGGACATGGTCTGACGCAGCAGGGACACCGGGTCCAGCCCCCGGCGGTTGAAGCTGGGGCTCTCCACGTACTGGAACCACACAGAGGGAGAGAGAGAGGAACTGAGCCTGATTTACTGGGCAAAGGCAAGGCTGGCTGGGAGAGAGACGCCTCCCCAGGCTGACAGAGAGGGATGGAGACCAGCCTGTATGGAGGCTGTCTATCCCCAAGGCTTTTGTTTCTAGGGCTCCCAGTGGGCCCCAGCAGCAGCCCCATGCCCAGGGCAGGCAGGGGGCTGGGCTCACCTCCTGCAGTGTGGCAGAGCAGAGCTCGATGGCGATGTAGTGGAACTGCCTGTCCTTCTCGGTGCAGAAGTAGCGGACGACGTGGGGGTGCTCGTCCGACTCCCGGAGCAGTTGGACCTCACGGTCGAGCAGATGGACACACTCGGGCAGGAGCCGCTTCACAGCCACATTCCGTCCCTCGAACTGCCCCCTGTGCAGAGAGTCCTCAGCGTGTCCACATGTGGCCCCCTAGCTGGAGCAGAGCCCAGTGCTGCTGCCCCATGCCCAGTGCCTGGTTACTGAGGGCCACAAGCCCAGCTCTGGGACAGGTGTGATGAGGACCAGAAGAAAGGGAAGGTGGCAGCTTGTTCTCAAAAGTCCCTGAACCAGCAGCCACCACCTTGGGCAACAGCCACCTTGGTTCTGTCCCTGTGGCTGCCAATGGGAGCAGAATGGGGACAGGCACCTGGTGTCACCCACCTGAAGACAAAAGTTCCACCAGCTCCGTGGCCCAGCACATCCTTGGGGTTAAAAGAAACTTTCCCAACTACAACCAGGTCTGGTTCTGCATCTGCAGGGGAAGAGAAGACAGCAATCCTTCAGCCTCCAAGCATTAGTTCTGTATGGAGGACAACTAGTTCTTTACCCATCTGGCCATTTCTTGGGCCCTACTCTTATGTAGCCCACATTTATCCAGCAGCAGGACCAGCACCTCCTCCCATCCCAGCTGAGCTGCAGCCCTCTCATCTGTGGGCATCCCTGCTCCTGTTTTGGGTGACAGCATCTCCAGACAGACAGCCCCCACACCCTGCCCGTTCCCCCTGCACCCACCTGCAGCAGCCTCTGGGACAGCCAGACCTGGGCTCACCATCCCATTTGCCGGGTCCTCCAGGGGGGCCGAGGGGCCGGAGCTCTGTGAGAGCTCCAATGTGCTTCCTCGGTTCCGCCCCGGCTTCCCAGGCCCTGCAGGGACACCCTCCCTGGAGACCCGGCCCGGGAGCAGCATCTCCTGCTGCTGCTGCAGGAGCTGGATCTGCTCCTCCAGCTGTTGCTGCTGTGCCACGTGCTGCCGCTGCAGTTTCTGGAACACAAACGATGGGAATGCTCTGCTCCATGCCTGGAGTGCAGTTGGGGCATTGGCAGGGCTCGGCACAGCAGCATGGGCTCCGCTGCCCCTCACCCTCCACTGCCACCACCACTCACCATGAGCAGGAGGAGCAGGACTCCCCCACCCAGCAGAGCTGTGCCAACACCAGCCATCACCAGGTCCCAGGTGCCCTCGGGATACACCTCCACCTGCTCCCCTGGTGCAGGGTCTGGCTGGAGCTGCCCCTCGCTGCGGACAGCCGGCTCCTCCGGGCTGCTCGGGGCCAGGAACTGCAACACACGCCCGGGGCTGGGTGACACCAGAGGGACAGACTGCAGGGCACTCAGGTTTGGGACTCCTTCCCTGTCCTACCCCATGCTGGGGACCCACTGCCCACTCTAAGCAGCCCAGACCCCTCAGTGACCCAGCACCCTTCACTGCTCACATCAGCAAACACAGTCCTGGCAGGAGGAGCCCTGGAGATGATGGTTTCCGTGGTCTTCCTCAGGTTCTCCGGGAAGGCTCGCAGCATCGTGGTGTGGACCACAGGAGGTAGCTCATGGTGCCCTGTGGCAGGAGGGGAACAACCATCAGTTTGCCTCTGGTCACAGCATCTGTCCCTCACCTCTGCAGTGCCATGGGCACCAGCAGCCTGGGCCCTCCCGGAGAAGGGGGGTCACTTCTGATGGGACTCCCCAGCATGGGTAACGGTGAGCCCTGCTTCAAAGGGTCCCTGCCCGCCCCTGAGTGGGGGTGCCCAGTGGCCCTTCCTGGGGAGGGGACAAGGATGGGAGTCACTGAAGCCCCTGAGGTAACTCACAACCTCAGTCCCATTCACCCTACTGGGCAGAGCAGGTCAGGCTGTGCCCCCCAAAGAACACCAGCAGCTCAGGCTGCCCACCCCAGCACCCTCCTGGAGCCAGGACATGGGGAGGCCTGTGCCCATCGCAGGTCCACACCTATGAGGAGCCACTGGTTGTGGAGCGCGGTGATGCTGCCCTGCGGGTACTTGACGTCGGTGCTGGGCGTGATCTCGCACTCCCCCGACTCTCTCAAGGTCACGTCGTCCGTGGTGGGGCCATCGATTCTGGCCAGTGTGATGCCCTGGGGCTGGGGGTGGCAGCTCATGGGGCACTGGCGCTGGGACAGGCGCCCGCCGTGCTCACCCCGAGCGGGGACACTCACCACCAGCGCCACACTGCCGTGCACCAGCGAGGTCAGGGCGTAGAAGCTGGTCGCGTGCTTCCCCACGTAGAGTGCTGGCCTGCAGGACAGGGACAAGCATCACCTTCCATCCATCACAGCTCAGGGCGGCCAAGCACTGGGAATGTGAATGCCACCGTGCAGGAACCACGTACAGCAGCTGGGTCTTGGTGGCAGCAAAGTCCTTGACGGACTGGTAGCTCCACTTGAGGACATGGATGTCCTGTGATTGGAAGGTCAGGTAGCGCAGGGTCTCCATGGCCAGGTTGAGGTGGGGGATGCGGCGCAGGCTGTCCTGGTGCCACACGTAGATGCCGACCACGGGTGAGCCATAGTTCTGTGCCCACAGGACCTCCCCACTGTCCTTGTCCAGGGTCACCACCAGCCCGTCCCCACTCGAGGCCAAGTGTGCCATTTCTGGGAGAGCAAGAGGTACAGAAGATGAAGCAGTGGCCACCAGCCACCAGCTGTGGGCTGCTGCCCCTTCTCCCCAGCAACTGGCGCAGCTGAGACCTGCTGGCCTGGTGGTGTCACCCCAGGGCCCCCCACAGCCAGGGTCCTGCTGCGAATGCGGCACTGGGGAGCTGGCTCCCATGGCTCCCATGGCTCCCGTGGCTCCCGTGGCTCCCGTGGCTCCTGCAGATCCCACGGCTCCTACTCACTGTAGTGGCAGGACTCCTCGCACAGCGGGGCCGAGTACTCGGAGAAGGTGGCGTTCCAGCGCAGCTCCCGCGACTTGGTGTCGTACATGGTGATGATGTACTCTGGGCACAGAAGCAGGGCAGGAGGTCACCTCCAGTGCCCCATTCCTGGGACCAGGCAGGTGGTCAGGGTGCAAGGCTCCCTTACGGGTCCGGCCAATGTAGAGCAGGGGGCTGGACGGGCACAGGCCATCCCAGGCCTCTGTCGAGAGGGTGGTCTGCTTCTCCCCTGACTTGGGGTCCACGATGAACCAGGTGTCCTGTTTCTTCCCTGAGAAGGAAAATACCTTTTTTCCGAGTCCCCGCAGCCCTGCCCATCCCCGAGAGCACCCGCTGAGCTCCTGCCCGGCGCCCTCCATGATTCCCGGGAGCCCCTGGTTGACCCTTACTCCCCAGGGCCTTCCATACCAGTGTAGAGCACCCCATCCGAGCTGCGGCACGGGGAGGACTGGACCAGCTCCGGGATAGTGAACGGCAGCTTCTGCAACACACACAGAAGAATGGATGCAGGACCAGAGTCACCTCCCCCTGCCTGGTGAACCCCAGGGGGACATGGGACGCCCACAGCCCCCCAGCCTCACTGACCATCAAGCCTTCTTTGTTCTTTCCTCCCAGGATATACAGGCTGCCGTCATTGGGGTCTGGAAGGAATGCTGGCCTGGGAAGGAGGAGACCCTGTCTGTCACTCCAGCAGTTACTGGGGAGGCTGCACACCCTGGGGCCTCCTGCTCTGCCCACCCACCCACGGGGATGACACTCACTCTGCCACATAGACCGGCACCTGCAGAATGGGATCTGAAACAGAGAGTGAGAGGCGACGTCAGCAGTGCTCTGGTGTGCGGGACAGCGCAGCACTGCTGGCTACCCAGCGTGGCACTGTCACCCAGTGTGGCACTGCTGGCTACCCAGCGTGGCACTGTCACCCAGTGTGGCACTGCTGGCTACCCAGCGTGGCACTGTCACCCAGTGTGGCACTGCTGGCTACCCAGCGTGGCACTGTCACCCAGTGTGGCACTGCTGGCTACCCAGCGTGGCACTGTCACCCAGTGTGGCACTGCTGGCTACCCAGCGTGGCACTGTCACCAGTGTGGCACTGCTGGCTACCCAGTGTGGCACTGCCACCCAGTGTGGCACTGCTGGCTACCCAGCGTGGCACTGTCACCCAGTGTGGCACTGCTGGCTACCCAGCGTGGCACTGTCACCAGTGTGGCACTGCTGGCTACCCAGTGTGGCACTGCCACCCAGTGTGGCACTGCTGGCTACCCAGTGTGGCACTGCCACCCAGTGTGGCACTGCTGGCTACCCAGCATGGCGCTGCCACCCAGCTCAGTCACACAGTCTGTTTGCATTTCAGACCCAGAACAGACACTGACAGAAGATGCTCACCCATGCTTGGCTGTGCCTGGGGCTGGGGCTGGAGTGTTCCCCAGGGCTGGGCACTGCTGGCCCAGAGCCCATCCAGCAAAAGCCAGGTGGGAGGAGCATCCCCAAACCCCAGACAGAGACAAGCTCTGGGAGCCAGGCTGTGAGCAAACCCCCACCTCAGTCACTACTCACCATCCTTCAGCGTCCACTTGA